CAAGGTGGTGAGGGAGACACTGGGGGCAGAGCAGCCTTTGCCAGTGCCCCTCAGGTCAAACCAAGCAAAGGCACCCTATCCGCATTCCAAGGGGCCAGCAGTGGCACTTTGGTTCACAGCATTTTCTTTGCTGTGCCCCTCTCTCACGTTATGTAATTTGGAGGGAACTGAGCACGGCAGGGGAAGGGAGATGGGTCGAACTTCCCAGGATGTCTGTGCCAGAATGTCGACAGTCAGGAGGGCTCTGCCATTTCTTGGCAATGCCAAGGGACCTGGGGTGACAGGCTTCTTTTTGCATTGGAGTCTCAGCGCTGCGATAGTCGAGCACTGCGGGAAAACACAGGGTGGTCAAGTTCCCTGGCCAGCTTTCATGATCTCCAGCCCCCACCCCCTTGTGTGCCCACACTTGAGAAATGTCCCCCCACCCCAGCACCTGCTATCATCAGCTCCGTGGTATAAAGTGCATGCCCTTCCCTCCCTCCCACCAGCACTGCAACCAATCTAAGCTACAGATTTTAAGAGATGTTCCCGGGACTTTTGGAACTAACTTAAAACAACGGTGGTTATTTTAGATGCTATGATCTATATTTATATAGATTTCTGGACTGCTCAAGCTCTTTGACCAAAATCAACGACATCTTGGGATTTATTAAATTATGTAATAGCACAGACATCAGAATATTGTGTGGAAGTAATGCCTTTACTTTGGTCTGATTTCGTTGATGTACACAACCAATTTCCAATAAAGTGCTAGAATGAGCATGTCTGCGGTCTTTCTTTAGAGAACGCTTATTAAGCCCAGGAACTCAGGTAAAAGGGCTCCACTGAATTTATGGGCCTTAGAGACAATTTGAATGTAGGAACCGAAAAGGGAAAGAGAAGAATCCATTCGAATCCCAGGATTCTAGCTTTAGCAAGTGGGTAGTTGTACAGTTGACATAGACATCTAGGACGCAGGGGGAAGAACACATTTTTTAAGTGATGGATTTCATATTAGACATGTTGAGTTTGAGTTGCTTGTGCTTCAGTTGGCCACGTTCAGGATGCACCTGGAAACCTGGGTCTGTCCTTTGGGAAAGATTGTATGGCTGGAGTTATCCTTTGGGGGATTATCTGCACGTGGTGGTAGATATACACACAAGTGGACAGGACCACCGAGGCAGAGAACACAGACTGAGGGCAGTGAGGTGCTAAATGCAGAATTTGGCAATCACCACATAGGAGTGGAAGGGGGCTGGGAGGTGAGGGGGAGACAAAGCAAGGGGATTGGAAAGGTCATGTGCCGAGAGGCGATATGAGAGGGATGCAGTTGTAATGTAAGGAATGAGTGGGAGGTGAGGAAGTGGAAACAGAATAGACAACTCTTTCCAGGAATTCGACTGCAACATAGAGGTAAGAGAGGAGGGTTCGGCGGGGGGATGGTCAAGGGGGATAGATATATAAGATTCTGATTGGTTTGCTCAGCATCTCTCCCAACTTTTGCTTTGCTTTTCTTTTCCCCTAAGATGCCTTCCGGGGTTGCAGAAGCTGGAAAGTGAGAAACATTGAACGCGAACACTACATCTCCCTCGTTAAACTGTGGCCAGAGATTCAGAAGTGATTTCGGTTTTGCTAATCAGATGCACACATGTGAGGTTTCTGTTTGGGACCTGGTTAGGTTGGAGAGATCCCGCAGGCTGTGAAACATCCACCGACCAACTGTCAGTCTACAGGTGTGCACATGAGATAGAGCCAAGAATTCTGCATTTTTAATGCAGTGCCCCATCCTTTGAGAGATATAGTACTAAAGTATCTGGAAACTTTGTTGCATCGTGACAGCTGTCTAAAACTTAAACCTTCTCCTAACTGCTTGCTGGAGGAAAAACTTGGAACATTTTGTGATTGATAAGCCTAGGATCAGTCTTGTGCAATTCAAGCCTACGGGAAGCAGTACACTGGGGATTGCTGGCTGGATATGGGGTGTAGGCTCTAGCCTTTCTGAGTCTGATTCCTGGTTTGTAAAGTGAAGGGCATCAGAATTAAAAAAAAAAAAAATCATGCTATGGTTTTAGGATAAAGGAGTGCAAATAAAGACTTTTTAGGCAGTCCACCAGATGGCGATACAGCTATTTTTATCAAGTGGAGCCCTTAGCTCACAGAAGTTTCCAGCCAATCCTAGTTCCTAGCAGCTCAGCATTTTATTTTTACGGTTCTGGTTTCAGTGACTCTGAAGGTAACTTAGGGATCATCCAGTCCAACCTCCCCTATAATGAAGGAATCCCCTCTTTAATAGTAGGGTTGCCACGTGTTGCCTCTTCAGTATCCTAGTGTTGACCTCCTGGGACAGGTTCACCCAGGGTCCTGCTCCACACTTACTGAGAATCCCTGGAAAAAGGTCGTGAGTATCTGTTTTGTAAAAACAAGCTCCTGGGTGATCAGTGAGCAGGTTAAAAGTGGAGAACCACATGTCAGTGGAAAGGAGTCCACTTCTTGCTGAAACCACTCCTTGTCAGCTGTTGAGTTAAAATTCTTCCTTCAGTAAGAGGGAAGTCAGGCCTTGGGATGACAGCTCTGCCTTCTTGGGGCCACCCTGAAGAGATCAACTTCCTTTTCCTCAGGACAACTTCTGAGCATTGCAAAGATGGCTGTCATGACTTACCTCAGCCCACCATCTTTCCTGGGTGGGGAAATTCACACTTTGCATTACATGGTGGCCACTGTCCTCCCTCCCTCCTTTTCCAGGAGCAAGGGCCTGAAGAATCTTGGCTTCGCTATGCATTCGTTTTCCGACTGTGGCCAAGTTAACAAACTCTTTGAGTCTCAATTTCCTCATCTGTAAAATACAGGATTGAGTATTAAATGAGGTCACAATTGCAAGGCGACATGGTCAAATACACGAATGCTCAATACATGTGATCTATTACTAATGAGTCCCAGTTTCTTCATCTGAAAAATGGTGATGACAGCTACTTCTGAGTGTGGGAAGGATTCCATGAGATTAAAAAGTAATGAATTTGGCCAGTGCCTGATTCATGGGAGTCTCTCAATAATGGTAACTATAAGATGGCCAATAATGCAAAAATACCAAAGGCCTAATGGGGCTGGATTCTTAAATTGCCAGCTACCATAGTGAGATGAGCAGAAGACTTCCCCGCTGGCATCCTGTAGGATTGGCACTAAATTCATGGAGGGCCTCAAACAAGTATAAAAGTCCTACCTCTTCTATATTAACCTCCTTCAAAAATGATTTCATAAGTAATTCACCATTTTTTTAAATGTTTATTTATATTTGAGAGAGAGAGAGAGGACAGAGCAGGAGTGGGGAGGGGCAGAAAGAGAGGGAAACATGGAATCCAAAGCAGGCTCCAGGCTCTGAGCTGTCAGCACAGAGCCCAATGTGGGGCTCAAACTCAGAGTGTGAGATCATGACCTGAGCTGAAGTTGGATACTTAACTGAGCCACCTCGG